ATCAATTTTAGATTAAAAATACTACTAAGTCTTTTTACCTCAAGGCATAAATATACAATATGATCTCCTAGAACCATATTACAAAGTAAATTTCCAAAGGATGACATCATCAAATGTCATACCAGTAGGATGCTTTTTTTTCCTCTTAGACCGCATTTGAATTGGTGTAGGCACCCTAACCTCACTCCATTCAATATTGTGTGAAAAGGATCATCTTATAGCCATCAATTCGGGACCCTGCTTTCAGGAATGGTTATCTAGTACATTTAAATACAACAGTTCTGAGGATCCTGGGGTGGTCCACAGGGTACTGTTTGCCATCACCTAGTGAACGTTTAAAATGGTCTCCCTTTGTACACTGGATTACAAAAGAATATTGGGCCCTATTTTTCTTTTGGGTGTGGTTTGTATAGGGCTGAGGCCCCAAACAATCGAAGTAAGACTCACCTTTAAATAGTGTCGGAATATGTTTTTCGGTACTGGAAATTTGACGCACCTTTAAATAGTGCCGGAATATGTTTTTTTTATATTGGAAATCTTTGTGATGGCTTGAAACTTTTATTTTCATATCTAAATTATAAAATTTAAAGATTCAAAAATAGTGTATCAAACAATTCAATGAACACTTTAAAAATATGAAAATTGACTGTCCAGAAATACATTACAAGTTAGAGTATTTTCAAGACTTGAAATCCATTTTTTCTCATGACCACACATCTTAATGTTGAGATGATCGATTTGAGGATTTTTTAACATCAAAATAACCTTTTCAAGTGGATTTTTTAAGTGCACCTTAATTTAATTGTTTAGGGCGTCGCCCTGATATACATATAGACTTTTTCCTCTTCTTTTTGACATGAGGGCCGACTCTTTTTCTTCTATTGTATGGGGTGCAATTTAACAGGTGGCTCTTACAAACCCAGCTTTACATCAGTTCAGCATGATGCCAACCGTTTGCGCATATGCCCAGGCATTAGGTCAGTTCAGCCATGATGCCAACCCATATACATATGCCCAGGCATTAGGGCAAACAGATATATCAATAAAAGACAGAGCGTGCCCCTGAAAGAGAAAAAGAGTGATATTCAGATGTAGTCAGAGTTGCCTATATGACAATATAGGTTGATAATTTTATGTTATATCATATACACTGGTTCAGAAAATCTCAGCTGACCGCCTTAGAAGTGTATGATATAAATTATATCATAAAACAAACCATGGTCCCCACGTGCTCGTGACGCTTTTACATACGGGTGCAGTTTGTATAGAGCCTAGGCTCTAAACAATCAAATTAGACCCTACCTTCAAATAGTGTCGAAAAATGTGGTTTCAACATTGAAAACCTTTTTTATAGCCTTAAAATATACTTTTATATTTATTTATAAAGTTTAAAGATTCAAAAATAATGTAGATCGAGAGACCTATGAAAACTTGAAAATCTTGAAAATTAATGGTCCAAAAATGCAGAACAAAATATACTATTTCCAAAACTTGAAATCGATCTTTTTCTCATGTCCATGCATCTTGATGTCGAGATGATCTATTTGAAGATATTTGAGCATCAAAACAACCTCTTCTAGTGAAATTTTTGGGGTAGGCTCTAATTTGATTGTTTAGAGCCTCGGCTCTATATAAACTTTTCCCTTTACATTATATGGTGTACAAGGATATCACATTTTCCACTGACAGCCTTAGATGAGTATGATATAAAGGACTTGCCCAAGGATTCAGTGACAAAGTGTAAATTGGGATCCAATATGAGAAAATTCTGTGGAATCATGACCATCAAAGAAGTCTATCAGTGCTACATGTAGCCTCGACAATGAACAGTTGAGATAAACCATTCCACCGTTTGACCAGACACTGGTGGACTAGAGTTGTGGAATGGTTCATCTAATTCCCCCCTTTTGACAAAAGGACGTTGGGCAACATGTAATTCAGTATTTTATAACGCTACATGTAGGATGCTACAAACTCCCTACAAATAGAAAACTCCCCGCTTTTGAAGATAGCGCGCAACACATAATAAGCAAGAGGTAAGAAGACCACCAGCCGAAGTTATGATACCATGGGATATTGGTTTGGATTACCATGCACAGGACAAACACTTCTTTCTTGATAAATAAGATGGATCAAAACATTTGCCTCAAAAAGTGCAGAGAGGAGCAATTAGACTTTTGTAAAACTTACTAAGGTTTTTTCTGCAGTTCAAACTCCTGGACTCAATGACAGCACCCTCTCTGCCAGAGAATGGGGCTCTAATGCAAGGATATAGGCTCGTAATAACTCAAACAAAACTCACTTTCCAGCCGAGATATCTGTACAGTTAAAACACCAAACCCCCATCATGAAGAGGTCCTTCGCCTTTTTGTGCTATGGTCCCCGAGTTGAAGGCCAATCGATAGGTCATCATTCGACCCATCCTTACCATCTCTAAGCTCCGATAGGTTTTCGGGGTTTTGTGTTCGGCTCTGATTTGGTTGGCCCAATGCTACATGGAAATCCTGCATGAATTGGAGCTCGACGCTTGTGGAGGGCTCGGCAAGCCTTGTGATGAAGTCGGTCTGCCTAAAGAGAACATCCATGTCTACCCCACCACTTTGGGGGGTAGAACTGTGGGGCCCAAAACCTGTCATGTCTTCAAAAGGAAGGGACTGACATCCTTCAAGCGCTTTGATTTTAGCTTGGGAGTGGCTTCCTCTAGGAGAAGGCTCCTCCACTGTTGGGTCTACAACTGCATTGGAGAAGTCTTGCCTTTCCTCTTCAACAATTTCTGGCCCATAAAAGACAAGTGTTACCAAACGCTCCATCAAGGAAACCATCAACACAGTGAAATGTATCGATAACAGTACATATCAAAAATAAAAATAAAAATGAATATTGATCGCACACAAAAATGAGTCTCTGAAGATTAAGGCATTTCTGAGACGCAGAGTCCATATTTATGCAACTTATGGTCCAAGGTAGCAGACACAGACCATGATGGAATATTCTTAGTTTGGTCTCTCTTTTTCAGTTGTCCTGTTAAATAGCAATGGTTAAGGATGCCATTCTCCAGGCAACCTCATGGCTTGTTGCAACGAGAATTGTAAATGCATCAAATGCTCCAATTAGATGAGCATTAAATGTGTCTTGAGATGAACATTGACTGTTTTGCCACTCTGGAAGGGGCGTAAAGCACTAGATACAACAGATCTTTCCAAGTCTCATGTCATAAGAGAATTAGATAATGGGCATCTAAATATATAATTTTAATACAGAAATGCATGCACGTATAGTCCATCTCTGCATATATATATATATATATATATATATATATATACATGGGAATTGTCTACAAAGAGACCATTTATTTTTTTGTACGGAGGTACAAGCATTCTCACTCATTACATGTCAAATTGGATGGCTTGAAGTGAGTCACGATGTTTGAGTTTTTTTAGGAACTTTGTGTCTTTTCAATGACACTCTTAGAACCACCCATTTTGAAATTTAAGGGACAAGATCAATAAAGATTTGGAGGTCCATCAAATTGCAGACCATCAAAAGTAGACCTCTCAGCGTACGTCCTATGGTCAGCCGGCCTTGCTCGCTTTAGATTCACCAAAGTTAAGGAAAACATCTTTGAAACATTTTTGGTCGTAATGAAGATGAAACATAAGAAAGATTAAAGAAGGGTAAAACTTAGCATGCATTACAATGAAACATAAGAAAGATTAAAAGAATTTTTTTATTTTTTTTTACAGAAGTTCACTATAATTCCATTATAGTAGAAATTACAAAGGAGGGTCCCAAAAGACAAAACCCACTGCTAGAAGGTATCACAATGGCGCAGAAGCTAGGGGGGGAGGGGAATTTAGGAAGGCCCCTTCTTTTGCCAATCTATCAGCGACAGAATTTACTTTTCTGAAGGCATGGCGCCAGAAGATCCTGTAGTTGCTTGTTAAATGGATTATCTCGTCAAAGATGTTGTCGAGGTGCCAAGGCCATGCCAAGCGGGTGGAAGCCCAATGGATAATGTTCTTGGCATCACCTTCCACCACGATATTGTGACTCCAAGTGTAGTCAAACTTGTGAAGGCCTTCCAAAAGCATAGAGCCTCAGCAAGGTGGAGTCCGCTATACCAATAGGTCACGAAAATGTCAGTAAGGTACTACCATTACTTGAGCAAAACAGTCCCCCAATACCTGAGGGACCAGGTTGCCAAGAGAGCAATCGTCGAAGTTAAGCTCCACTGCCCCCTCATCAGGTGGTCACCACCACGCCTTCGAGATTCTATAGTTTGCTAGAATTAAAAGGTTGGACCAATTGCTAAGAAAGTCAGTGGAAGGAGAAAACTTGAATAGAGCATGATTAGATGCCCAATAAGCCACTACGTTCCTGATTTTCTCTATGATTTCTTTCGATCCACAACACCCAAATGGTGGCTGAGAGCGTGGCTTTCCAAAGAATCCTTCTTGCCTTAGGCCAAGGGGGTAGAGAGAAAGGCTTGAAACAAATGAGAAATGCAGGAATGTGTTACCCAAACCCAGTTGAACAAGAAAAAGGTGGACCTCCCTACTGCTCTAGAGAAAGAGCAGTGGAGTAAAAGGTGAGGACTAGACTCCGCTTCCATCAAGCAAAGTTACATCTATTTGAGAGTTGCACACCTCTTCTTTGAAGCTGATCCACGGTCAACAATCTCTCGTGCAATGCGATCCAGCAGAACACCTGTACTCTTGGTGGAATAAAAGGATTCCAGGCCTTGGAAGCAATGACAGGAAGTGGGCCCGAGGGGTTTGAGAGGCAGTGATGGTTCTGAAGAGGGAATCCACCGAGAATAAAGCCGAGGCCATGGTGGTCCAAATAATCCTGTCATCCTCAAAGGAAGATAGGAAGATGGACTGTAAACACTCGGCCAAAGAAGTAAGGTCTCCAAGCTCGTGGTCGAAGATAGATCTCCTAAACTGAGGCTTCCCAGATTTGAGGGCTCCAGCATAATTGAAGTTGGGCCAGGATTAAAAGAATAGTTTACTTGGTTAGACCGGGGCCATAGGTCCAGCACCCAGAGTTGGGCCTGGATCATACAACGGAGCAGTGTATGGCTTTATCCTGAGTGTGTTGAAATTGCTTGAACCAAAGAGGTCACTTGGTAACGATGTCTTGAATTTAAATGGGATATGGAAGGGGGCATTTAGGATGAAACCTAGTGCAATCTAGCATCCATCGCCAGGAGTCACATAGGTTAGTTTTTCTCTGCACTCTAGGCATGGAAAAGTTTCCTGGAGTTTCAGGGTTGCTATGGTTCAAGTTCTACGTCATAGGCCACAGGGCTTCTAGGGTGGGTTTGGAGAGCGAAACAGTCAATTGGCCAAGAGGGATAAGGGCTCAACTACCTAGTGTTCTGACCCTAAAACAAAGTTTTGACGAGGTATTTACAGGCTGGGGAACCTTTAACTGTCATCCATAAAGTGGCGGCCAAATCTAGGTTGTCAATCTTACATGTCATTAACGACATGTTCTACATCATTAGCCATTTCAGAAACACCCTTAATGGCCCAACAAGGCATCTAAACATATTCTAGACATTTTCTAGTCAACAAGGCATCTTGTGTCACAGCGATAAGTAATGCATTGCTGAGGAACCAAAATGGATTTCTAGCAAAAAAAATTATTTTCATCATGACTTTCAAACCATACATCAGGTCTGCTGATTCTTAAACCATTAGAAAGATTATGGCATCCATTACAAGCCAAAATCAACTGTGGCCAATTTGGATGACTTTTGGAGGGGTTATAGTGCTTGCATCTAAAGGGTTGGTTTAAGTTTTCTTATACGGGGTTAGCCCGATTTGGAAGGTGTCTCACCTAATTTGGAAGGTTTTCCTAAGTGCTAAAGCTAATTAGGAAGTTTTATGGTCAAATAAGTGGCTTTAAGGTTATTTTTAGGTTGCTGCTAAGGGTGCATGGAGATGTGAGCCATCATGGGTTTTCTAGCCAAGTATGTTCCCTAGTGTGGTTTTTTCTTTCTTGAATTTATTGACTATTGTAATAAAGTACAGAAAATTACAAGTTTTTAGCTAGAGTACGCAATCCAAGAAAGGGTTTACTAATACAAAAACCGGCTCAGAGGATCCAAAAATGTTCAACATCCAAAAAATGGCAAAGTTGATGCAAGGTAGATACAAAAGGTGGGGACTAAATGCTCAAGTAGTTGCCAAAATCCCCGAGTTCGAACTGAGCTGTGCTCCCTCTCTAGCAAAAGTAACAGCCATGGCTTGGCTTCCTAATGCAGTACGAAATTATCAGCGACTTAACACCCAGCAAAAACCAGCCATGTTTAGAGAGAGAAACAAAAGTTAGAGAAGAAATAGCAAGAAGATAGCAAAACGTGCGGATCCGAGTTCTCAACTACGCGCCCATGAACACAAGAGGGAAACAAGAAATACACCCACAAAAGATCTTCTCTCTCTCTCTCTCTACAAACTTTGTAACAAAAGAAACCTTCTAACTTTTATTTAACATCAATAGTATTGCCCCTGTTTACCATGAGATTCCCTTTAAAGCTTCATGTCTTTCCTTCTCTCACAAGATGATGATATCCCTCAAGACGCATTATCCTATAATATCTACTTATGGTACTTATCTCATGTTCTAAATAAACTCCACCACTTACAAAAAACGGATTCTTTCCTTTGAAATAAATTCATATCCACGTCACCCCCAAGGATAACCATCTTCACAACAGAAAAGACCAACCTATCCCTTCACGTTGAAAAGATGACCAACTCTTGCAAAAGAAGAAAATTGGCCTTATTAAAAAAAAAGGACGTGACTTCGCCATATCTTGACCTTATCAACAAAGATGGAACTTATCTCCCTACAACAAACACACTAACGGATTTAATAAAAAACGCATAAATCCTAAACACACCAACGGACGCATAAAACAAAAAATAAAAATAAATATGTTATTTCTTCTTCTTTTGATCGCAATCTGATTGCTCTTGATAATAGAGCGCGATTATCTCAACCGCATCATCCTTCCCTGGTTGGAGAGAACTTGTCCTCGAGTTAAGCTCTTCGTCATTAGAGGAATCTCCTGCATGAGGAATTAGGTGCATGACATTGAAAACATCAGAAGTCCTCATATGGCTTGGTAGCTTTAACTTGTAGGCAGTGTCATTGATCTTCTTTAGAATTTTGCATGGCCCAAGCTTCCAATTATTGATCTTGTTATACTCCCCAACAGGATATTGTTTTTGATCAAAACAACCCATACATAATCTCCAAATTCAAACATTTGCTTACGACGATGCTTATCTGCTTCTTAACCTGCTCATGAATGCCTTTGATTCGATCAGCTAAATCTTCTGCCTTGCCACTAAATTCCCTGCATGTGCTATAGGAGTTAAATCTAGCACACTACTGGGATTATATCCATAGATAACTTCAAATGGGCTTGTCTGAGTAGTTCGATTCTAGGACCTGATGAAAGCAAACTCAGCTTGAGGTAAAGCCAAATTCCAAAGCTTTCGTTTGTTTCATGCCAAAATGCACAATAAATTTCCCAAACTCTTATTCACTACCTATGTCTGACCATCAGTTTGTGGATGATAAGCGTTGCTAAAATATAACTCAGTTTCCATCAACTTCCATAAAGATCTCTAGAAATAGCTCATGAATTTTGTATCTTTGTCTGAAGTGATTGATTTTGGATTGCCATGCAATCGAACAATCGCCTTGAAATAGATTTTTGCAATATTAGTAGCATCCATAGTTTTCTTGCAGGCAATA